AACTAATGATAGGAGCTCAGAAGACGGTTTAAGTTTCACTTTCGGTTTTTCACCGGAGAGCCTGCAGGAGTCATGGGCTGGGTGTGTGGGGAGGGCGGGAGGGGGTACGCTCTGCCTTGAGGAAGTTAGGCTTAAAGACACGTCCCAGGGGCGTTTCTGGTCCCAAAAGGTGTTTCTGGTCCCCACCTGTCGTTTTGCTCCTAAGCATGGCTTCCCAAAAAAGCTGCAGGATTTCTCAAACACGCATGAATGAGTCAGAGCAAGGCTTTGGGCATGTTTTTTATGAGAGTATAACATGATATAAAACTCAAAAAAGTTGATTTTACATGATATTGCCCTTTTAATACTTGGGATAACCCCTGGAAAATAGGTCTGAATCCCATTTTTAGCTGATTCTAAAGAGGATTTCTTGATGTAATGTAAAAGTGACAACCTACAACCATATTTGAATATTGTGATTTCCCAGCTGGTAGTGAAAGTAGCTTTACCAGCATGCAGACAAAGTTGTTCAAATTAAAGGCTTTTCTGCTCAAAATCAAGTTTTTGTCAGTGTTTATGCATTTCACTAATTTTGGACATTTCAAATATGGCTTTAAATTGATTGAAAACCCATCTTTATATCCGCTTTTAGTTGTAGCTGAGAAAAACATCTTTATTTTTGTTGATTTTCTAAGTTTATTTTATTCATCCTAAACTTTATGTGTTTTTCTGTTATATTTCCCCTCTATTGCTTTTATATTTAAACCTACAGCACTTTGGTTAGCAATGGTTGTTTTATTTAACCTCTGCTGATGATTTCTGTCTAACATGGACATATGTGTTTAAGAACAGCCTTTCCTGAACCCCGGAGGAGGGTCCGAGTGTGACGTGGTCCTGCTGAACCGTTGGAGTGTGAGGAACTACCAGGTCCAAAGAGGTGACATCGTCTCCATTGTGTAAGGAAACAGGATTAAATGTACTTCTACTGAAACCTGCAAAGAACAGGAAGGTTTTGTTCCTATACATTATTAAAGGTCGTAGCATATACAGCGGGTAAAATAAGTATTGAACACGTTAACATTTTTCTCAGTAAATATATTACTAGAGGTGCTAATGACATGAAATTTTCAACAGATGTCGGCAACAACCCAAGTGATCCATACATACAAAGAAATCAAACCATAAATGTCCAGAAATGAAGTTATTTGTAATAATGTGGAATGGCATAGAGGAAAAGTATTGAACACACTTACTGAAATTTATCTAATATTTTGTACAAAAGCCTTTGTTGTCAATGACAGCTTCAAGACGCCTCCTGTATGGAGAAACTAGTGGCATGCATTGCTCAGGTGTGATTTTGGCCCATTCTTCCACACAAACATCTTCAAATCTTGAAGGTGGACCTCTTCTATGAACTCTGATCTTTAGTTC